GGTTCCGTTTCCTCACAATGGCCCCAGTGGGGGGCAGGGCAACTTCCCAGGAGGGATGGGCTTCCCAGGAGAAGGGCCTCTTGGCCGCCCCAGCAACCTGCCCCAAAGTTCAGCAGATGCAGCACTTTGCAAGCCTGGAGGCCCAGGAGGTCCTGACTCCTTCGCTGTCCTGGGAAACAGCATGCCTTCAGTGTTTACAGACCCAGATCTACAGGAGGTCATCCGACCTGGAGCCACCGGAATACCTGAGTTTGACCTGTCTCGCATTATCCCATCTGAGAAGCCTAGCCAGACACTGCAATATTTCCCTCGAGGGGAAGTCCCAGGCCGTAAACAGCCCCAGGGTCCTGGACCTGGGTTTTCGCACATGCAGGGGATGATGGGAGAACAAGCCCCCAGAATGGGACTAGCATTACCTGGCATGGGAGGTCCGGGGCCCGTGGGAACTCCAGACATCCCTCTTGGGACAGCTCCGTCCATGCCAGGCCACAACCCTATGAGACCACCAGCCTTTCTCCAGCAAGGCATGATGGGACCTCACCATCGGATGATGTCACCAGCACAATCTACAATGCCCGGCCAGCCCACCCTGATGAGCAATCCCGCTGCTGCCGTGGGCATGATTCCTGGCAAGGATCGGGGGCCTGCCGGGCTCTACACTCACCCTGGGCCTGTGGGCTCTCCAGGCATGATGATGTCCATGCAGGGCATGATGGGACCCCAACAGAACATCATGATCCCCCCACAGATGAGGCCCCGGGGCATGGCCGCTGACGTGGGCATGGGTGGATTCAGCCAAGGACCTGGCAACCCAGGAAACATGATGTTTTAAGCTGCTAAGACTGGATGTGCCCATCCTTGTTGAGATGAGATTCCAGGTCCTGAGAGCTGCTATGAGGGCGTTCCAGGAGCACTGTCAGTCATGCAATAGGAGAACAGAGACCCAAGGGCTGCTTTGGGGGCGGGGGGAACTCGAGAATGTATGGATTTATCTGAAAACAAATTATTCATTTAATCAACAGGTGTGTTTTTTTTAAGATTTATTTTTTAAAAATTATTTTTGTGGACTTGGGTATCCCGTGATGGCACCTCCTTTTGGGAATCTGTAGCCGTGCTTTGAGAATCGCCATGGGTCACGTGTTGCACCGTTCTCTGTATGTTTACGTCCTTTGGACTTGGCTTCTCCCAGGATTCTTTTCTGGTTTTGTTTTTGCTTGGGGCTTTATTTTTTTTGTGTACTGTACTATATTGTAAAAGGGATTTTAGCAGAGACTTTAGTCTTTGGGACAAGAGGAGAACAGGAATGCTGGGCTGTTTACTTTAGGTGGAGAATCCATCTTCAGACCTTTGGACTATTTTCTTTCAACTCCAGTGTATAGAAAAACCAAACTACAACCTCAGAGCAGAGTATTAATGAAAAGCACAAAAAAAGGAACTAAGTTCAGCGAGGGGTGGGGGGAGGGGGAGATTTTTCTTTTTAAAAATAATGACGCTTAGGACATTTGTTTTTCAGTTTAAGTGCTCTTCAGCACTGTCTGCCTCTCCCAGCCTACAGACCCACCTGCACATTTTTCTCTCGTTTTCCCTCCCCTCTCCTTCCCCATCTCTTGGTTGAGTGAGTTTCCCCCTGTTGTGTCCTTCACTAGTGACCCCCTGCTTCCCTCCTCTCTTTCCCTTTGGCAGCTGCAATACACGGTGATTCTTTGGGGAAATAAATCTAAGCAAGCCTCACCTTCCATGCCGAGCATTGTCCCGGCTCCAGGAGGGAAGGGTCTGTCTTTGGGATGCTCGACGGTCTTCTTTGCCCTTCGTCTTTTCTTCCCCATCCTACCCCTTCCCTGCCCACCTTGTTTTCTGTTCTCCTTTTATTAGGAATTCCCAAGTGAATTTTATTAATGTGGGAGTGGAACAGATGCTAAAAGCTATCCAGGATTTTGTTTTTCTGTTTTTAATTTTGTGGGTCCTTCCCTTTCCTCCCCCTCCCATGCGTAAAACGTTCTGTGTAACCTCCATTAAATTTGGTACAAAACCACTCACCAGAGCTGTGGTGTCAGAAAAATAAAATATATTGTTTCTTACAAAATTGGATTGCCTTTTTTTTTGTCCATTTGGATTCCTGTTTGCTGAGTATTAGGCATAGTGGTTGCCATGTGACCCAGAAACGTAGCACCACTGTATCAGACTTGATCGACAGGGTGAAAGTTAGGGAAAGTATAGAAAAGTGCTTTTGCAGATGAAGCGTACTGCTTGCTGTTGAGGAGTAACTACTCTTGTAGATTGATCCAGTGCTGTTCCTGTCTCAGGCATGAAATCTTAGCTGTAGGCAGAAGAACAGCCCTGGTCCCCATGGCCTCATCTCTGTAGGCAGCTCATGGCCTTTACTAGGAATTTTTGTGAGGGCCAGTGTAATGGTGTGAAATATTTAAGAAGGCCAAAGTTATAGTCATTTGTAAAGCTACGAAATGCCCGTGGAGCTTGTTAAAGTAACGTATTATTACTGTGTGTGCAAATGTGGTTTCTGTGGTCCGTTCTGCCTCCCCCCTTCCCTGCCTATCCACAGTCCCCTTCTGCCAGCCCTGCTCAGGCTACACAGCTCACTTCGACGCGCACACCTTCAGCGCATCAGCGTGAGTCCTGCAAGGTGAGCGTCTAAGGGACCGGCCGTTTGTGTTTTCTGCGCAGTTAGGTTTCTTCTGGTGTATGTATTTCTTCTGAGTTACAGGCATCTTCAGCTGAGCAAGTGGGCGTCTGTATGCGTGTTTCTTCTCAGGTGAGGGAATGTAAGTGAAAAGCAGCAGGTGCAGTCGTCTGCAGACAGACTTGTACAGATTGGGCTCTGCTAGAGACCCACAGTCTGAGTTTGACCTATGAACATTTCTCTCCCGTGAAATGTTTTTGAGAGTCACTTTCTCTTCTACCCTCAGCAATCCTGTCTTCTCAGTAACACAAGAACCCCAGACCACAAGAGTGAGATTTGATTTGAGCACCTCCTCTACCAGTCACCTCCACCCCACATGTGTTCTCTTGCGAACTTTTGAAGGGCCATAGGAAGCAGGTAGTAAATCATCTCATCTGGAGACGAGAATACTGAGCTCATTGATTTAAGAATTCTGACACAATCAGATCTTTACAGATGAACCTAAGCAGTGAAAATTTTATGTTGTGGAGAAATTAGAGTACAAGGATTTTGTTTCAGGGATTAAGCCCTATCCCTAGGTCCTCTAGGCTTTGAACTAGTAAAAAAAGAACAGGGAAACAGCTAAGCGTGGGGCACGAGAGATGAGAGCTCTGAAAGGAAGGCTGGGACCTGGTGTTGGTCCGCTGGTCTGGCTTCATGGGCAGTCCCACTCTCTGTTGCATCTCATAGTGCTGTGGTCACTGAAGCTGTGTGGTCCCTTTGCTTCTGTCCCAAGGAGGGAGACAAAGGCAGGACGGAGCTTTGTGGACCCCCACCGGGAGAGGCTGGATATGTGGCACTCTGCATGTCGTCCCCTGCTGGAGGACGTGCAGCAGTGCAGATCAACTTAACCATTTCAAAGTAGTTGGGTTTTGAAAAGACCATAAATCTTCATTCATTTACATTAGCCATATACATTTCATCATGATCCATCTGATATGATAAACTTCATTTAGGGTTTAAATGTCACAATTTCCAATTTGCTAATCTTGCTATGAAATAAAGTCACGTTTGGCAGATTGGATGCTTTTGCATGAAGAATAAATGATGCAAGGTTTTTTCAAAAAATCCACAAAACGGTGATAAAAATATTTTGTGTTAACATAATCCCATGAAAGCCAAGCCAGCCTCTCCCACCCCCTGCCCCTCCTGAAATTTTGGGATTAAATGAAGGAAGTGCAATAACGTGTTGCTTCATTCCAGGCTAAGTGGGAAGGTTGTGGATCATAGCATTTCGTAGGAACTAATGAAGCATATGGGGTATTTTCCTTAAAATAATGTGAAACAAAGTGATTTACTTTTTAAAAGAATCTGCACTTGTAAATGAAAACAAGCAAACAAAACTGGAGACGCCTTATGAAGGGGCAAGAAAAATAAGTTTTTAAAACAATTTTATATATTTTAAAGCTATTCTTTAAAAAATTGATCCAAAATTTCTCCTATCCTCCCTACTCTCCTGTACTTCTAGATGCTGTGATCATGACACAACTTCCGTCACTGGGGCAGCTGCACAGGCCCCAGAGTGGTTTAATGCTCTGCTGTCCCGTGTTGACTTTCTTAATAATCTTTGAGCAGGGGCTCCATATTTCCATTTTTATACTGGGCCCCACAAATGCAGCAGCTGGCCCTGTGAGCAATAAGAGAATTCTCCGCAGCTCCAGAGCAGTGCTGGGATCCGGGTCTCTCTTCGTCCTTTCTCCATCCCAGCGGCCAGGGGTGACCCCAGACAGGGTGGGTGCTGTGTTCCGTTTAAACCGTCTACCCTTTAGTCACTTCCTTTTCCCTTTCTGAGTACCTTCAAAGTGCTCAGGGGAGAGGAAAGCTGTATTTAACCCAAGGATTCATTTATTAGCAACCATTTAGACAGTGTCCATTGTGTGTCAAGAACTGCGCTAAGACAGGGGCCAGGAAACGCATGTTGTAAATCGACATTCCATACTCTGATCGCTACCACAGGGAAAGTGCCAGCTGAGTGCCACTGACCAGAGAGGAAGGCCCAGGGAAACCACCATGAAAGGTGGTTTTGAACTTAACTCTTGAAGGAGGAAGCACTTCCCAGTGGAGGGTGCTGGTGGGCTTTTAAACAGGGGAGCAGCAAAGGCCTACTTGTTGCAATGGGGATGCTCTTTAAGGGAGGGAGGTGGAGAGAAGAAATGAGCTCAGAGAGAGCGGGTCATGGGAGAACCCAGGGTGGCCCAGGGAGTTTGAACTTCACAGCTTTAAGCAAGGGAATCTGGTGATCAGATAGGTTCTGCGGAAAGATTACTGCGCTGGGTGTGGAGGACAGGGTGGGGATGGCGTAAGAGAACCATAGGAAGATTTTGCAAAAACTTGTTTATTCTACAAAATCTTTAAACTCACAGATTCATCTCTCTTGCTTTAAAAAACATCAAATTGGATCATATTTCCTCTGCTGCTTAATAACTTGAGCCTACTGCCACTTTCTTTTCTCTAACCCAGACCACTCATATTTTCCAAAGTCACAAACACATATTTAAGAAAAGTCAAGGGAGCTTAATTTGGTGGTAAAATTTTAATGACACATTTAAAGCAAACAGTTTATAGAGCACAGAAACCAGTTTGTGGCCCAATATTTTATATTGGAAGGAGTTAAATAATAAACTAAGTTAAAAAGAAGATACACTCTAAGGGTTGGATAAATAACAAAGCCTCTGACATGGCTCCTTATCTGGGTTACTGTAACAGACGGGATCTGTTTTCTGCCTGTAGGTAACCACACTTCAACTGTTAACTTTCTGGCCCAGTGTTTAGTTGTGCTTGGCAACCAACACTGCCTGGGGAAGAGGGTAAGTAGATGATCACAGAAAGAAGATAAAGAGAAGGTTCAGAAATGAGTGCCTCACACATATTTAAAGCATGAAAAAAATCCAGTTATTTCATCAAACATACAAGAACTCAGGCTTCCTTTGCAAAGCCCCACCTCAGAGCCCGAAGCAATTATGAGGGACCCTGGAGTTCCAAAGCACAATCCAGCCCTAAGCAAGTTCAGGTCTGCCCTGTGGCAGAGGGAGGACAGGACAGGATATGATGCGTGATTCTGGGAAGTCTGGATCTTCATACTGCATAGCCTGCCCACAGCTCTGTGCTAGCCTCCCTCTTCCTTCGTCCTGTGGCTGGAGCTAGGGTCAAAAGTGAAAGGGACTTAGAAATCTTAATGGTATTTAGTGTCCCATTAATTAGTGTTGGGGCTTCCCTGGTGGCTCAGCAGGTTCTGCAAATGCAGAAGATGCGGGTTCGATCCCAGTTCGATCCCTGGGTAGGAAAGATTCCCTGGAGGAGGAAATGGCAACCCACTCCAGTATTCTTGCTCAGAAAATCCCATGAACAGAGGAGCCTGACGGGCTACAGTCTATGGGGTTGCAAAAAATTGGACCCAATTTAGCAACTAAACAAACAAACAAAATTACTGTCCAGGGTGGATTTAACTTTTCAAGATTATTTTTTTTTCCACAGCTTAAGTTCTGTTGAAGACTCTTGGGAGCCTATTTCTCCTCTTTGCCAGTCTTTCAGGAGCTTTCATCTTCCCCATTCCCCACATAGAAACCCCACAGCTCGACATGCATTTCTTCCCCTGGAGCTCCCACCCACCCCCTTGAGTCAGCCTGATCTAAGCATGTGCTGTTTGGATGTGCTTTATGAGCTCTGGGCCGCTGGCCTCTGGCTGCCCAGTTCCCAGCACCAAACACAGTCTGGCCAGGCCCAGTACCTTGCTAGACACTGAGTCATCACCAGTGCGTTCACTCAAAATGTATTTGGTTACAGGGAATCATGGATTACTGTGATTTATTTTGTTTTCCAAACAAAAGGAGGTCTCCCAAGCTTTGGTGAAGTTCTCTATTCTAGCTGTCAGTAGTTGAGCTATTAAAAATTTTTATACAGACACACACAGATTTACTTATACAAATGTATACATACTTTTAATATACTAGAGTATGTAAATAATTAAATGCCAGTTTTGAAATGTCAGTACGCTGTTGTAAAAGATGAGTTGGTTTTTCCCTTGTCAAGGAAGCCACACAATCCCTGGGATCTCTTTATTTCTCTTATGCTTAGTGTCTGCAAGAGTTTTAAAATATAACCATTAGGATTTAAATGTAATAATAACAATAAGGAAAAACAGGAATCACAGCCATACGAAGTATGAAGCAGGCATCGCTTGGCCCAGGAAAGAAACAGTCTTTAGCATTATGTACCAGGATCCGTGGTTTCAGCAAGGGCCTTACAAGAAGCACTGAGCATTTATCTTCTATCCTGCATTGTGCTGGGCACATTGGAGTAAAAGGAAAGTATAACAGCCGCCTACAAGGAACATACAGCTAACTGAAGAGACATACACTAGCAATAATGGGAAAATAGGACCACATTCTATTCTCAGCATCACCATATTTCATGTTCATAGTCCATATTGAAATAATTACTAAGTTAGCTAATAAAGACAGACTGGAGCCACCAGGGAAGCCCCTAAACAACAAAACAAGGGCCATATAGAATGTAGTTATTGGTCTCATGATCATGCCTCTGACCCCCTTCCTGCATTATTAACCTCTCCCCTTCCTTTAGATTATTCCCATCAGTATACAAACATGCCCTGGGCTCGGCCCTGGGCCTTCTGCTTACTTTTCTAATCCATCCAATCACAAGTCACTAAATACCATCTGTATAATTGTAAGTCTAGAATTTCTATCTCCCTCTCAGCCTATCCATAGGAGTTCTAGACACAGTCAACTGGCATTTTCAACACTGCCTTGTGTCTTGCTGGCACCTCAAACTTAAGTCCTAAACTTTTGCATTTCCCCCAAATCTAATCTCCATACCCTATTTCCCCACCACAGTAAATGATATATAACCATCCATCCAGTTATCATGTCAGTCACATAGGAGTCATCTTTCATCCCTTACTCCTCAGTAAAACCATAAGCAAATACTTTTATGTCTATTGCCAAGAAATACCTTAAAACTATCTACTTCTCTCCATCCCTCCAGATGAAGTCACCATCTTTCACATGGTCCATTACATTCAGTTCTTAACTGCTACTTCCACTCTTGCTCTCCTTCAATCTGTTCTCCACAGAGTAGCCTGAGTCATCCTAAAAAGTGTCTAAATCATAGACATCAGTTCCTTCCTTAAAACCCTCCAATGGCTTTCCAATATAATTCATATAAAATCTAAGATCTTTAACAATGCCTTCCAGGCCCCAGGCATTCTCCAGTTTCACCTCATGCCCTTCTCTTCACACTCACCATGCTCCAGTCAAACCAATCTAATTCCAGTACCTCTGATGTGCCACACTCCTCCTGCCTCAGGACTTGCAATTATACACACTGGTTTTCTGTACTGGCATGCTCTTGACTCTGGCCTTCCCCTTTCCCAGTGGCTGACTCCTTCACATCCTCAAGGTCTCATCTCCTCAGAAAGGCCTTTTCTGATTACCCCAACAAAATAGCACTCCCCCATCCCCAACACACACACACCATCATTTTGTAGTACAACATCCTACTTGTGTCCTTTATGGTACTTATTTATTCTATCTCACCTACTCCACGAAGTCAAGAACCAAAGGAAGGATCAATGTGAGTTTGCGTGGCCAGGAAAGATTTTGTATGATCCTTCCTTCCTTTCATTCAACAAATATTTACTGATTGCTTTCAGAATGCAAGTACTGTGCTAGGAACTGGTGAACAAGTGATAAACAAGAAAAATTCAGTTTGACAGATGAATGGATACAGAAGCTGTGATAGGTTCATCAGTACCATCTTTCTAGAGCCCATAAATATGCATTAATATACAATATCTGTTTTTCTCTTTCTGACTTTACTGTATATAATAGGCAGTGGACACTCGGTTACGTCCACCTTTTGGCTGCTGTGAATACAGCTGCTATAAACACAGGTAAACAAATATTTGTTTGAATCCCTGCTTTAACTTCCTTTCCCTTTAGCTTTTTTTTCTTTAGTCTTTAATGTAAGTCAACTTCATCAACTTACAGAAGTGTAAATGCTGGATCATATGGTAATTCTAAACTTGATTTTTTGAGGAATTGCCATAGTTTTCCACAGTGGCTGTACTATTTTACATTCCCACCAAGAATGTACCAATTTCCCTGCATCTTTGTCAATACTAGTTATTTTCTGTTTGTTTTTTACAATAATAGCCATCCTAATGGGTATGAAGTGATTTGGGTTTGCATTTCCCTGATAACTAGTGATGTTGAGCATTGTTTCATGTGTTTATGGCCATTTGTATATTTTCTTTAGAGGAATGTCTATACAGGTCCTTTTTCCATTTTTGAATTTGATTGTTTGTGTCTGTTGAGTTGTAGGAGTTCTTTATATATTTTAGGTATCAATTCCTTATCCAGTACATGATTGTATCTCCCACTCCATAGGCTACGTTTTTGCTGTAGATAGTGTTCTTTGAAACACAAAATTTTGATCATGTCCAACTTACCTATTTTTTTCTTTTCTTGCCTATGCTTTTGGTGTTATATACAAGAAATCATTGCCAAAGCCCAAGTCATGATGCTTTCTCCCTGTTTTCCTTTAAGAGTTTTACAGTCAGAGCTAATCTTTAGACTGACATCAATTCAGTAATTCATTAGTATTTTAAGCATACTTTCATAATCCCAAGTCTACTATCATCCAGCTCATACTTTCCATCTTCCTATTAAGCAATTTGTTGTCTTATCTAATCTTTTAATGAGTACCTACAAAGCTAAGAACTATGGATACAACAGTGAAGTGGTCAGAAATGGCCCCACCCTGCTCTCCCCAAGTTCATAGTCTATTGATTGAAGTCAGACACTGAACAGGTGATTACGAACACAGGTAATAAGATGAAAGAAGAAAAGGAAGCTGCCAACATGCAAGACTGAGAAACATAAAATAACCCCAAAGATTTTATCAATTTCTTGGGAATCTTCGACTTACTGGTTTATTAACCTAAATAAAAGAAATAGTTTAGCTAACTACTGATTCCTAATGGTAATTATGGCTTTCTTCCCTAAGTGCTCACAGACTTCTACTTAAGAATCCATTCTAGGCTCTGCTGGGGGCCAAGGAGCTCTTGTTTTTCAGATTGTAGAGTCTAACATTTCACACATTTTAATACAAGGACCACATCTGCCTTTGTATTTTGGCTCTCTGAGACTAAAAATCTGAGGGTATCTTGGGACTTCCCTGGTTATCCAGTGGTTAGGAGTTGGTCTGACAATGCAGGGGACATGGGTTTCATGTCTGATCTGGGAACTAGGATCCCATATGCTGTGGGGCAATTGAGCCCACACACCACAACTACTGAAGCCCATGTGCCCTAGAGCCAATGCTCTGCGACAAGAGAAGCCACCACAAAGATAAGCCCACCCAGTGCAATCAGAGAGTAGCCCCCGCTTTCTGCAACTAGAGAACGCCCGTGCCCAGCAACAAAGAGCCCTGTGCGCAGCAATGAAGACCCAATGCAGCCAAAAAAAAAAAAAAAAAAAACTGAGAGCATTTTAATTTATCATAGATAATTCTCTGAAGTAACATCTACAACTTCTTTATCTACCTTGGGATATTACTCAATGGAAATATCAATATCTGAAGTCATTAAAAGCAACTGGATGAAAAAAAAAAAATAAAAGCAACTGGATGTTATATCCTCACCTCTTTCAGGTTTTGATTCCTCCTAACAATGTTTGTTTGCTAATTTTTGGCTTGAAGATTGGTTCTCCTTATAGGAGAGACTTGAAGCTGGTGGCTCAGACGGTAAAGAATCTACCTGCAATTCAGGAGACGAGGGTTTAATCCCTGGGTCAGGAAGATCCCCTGGAGAAGGGAATGGCAACTCAGTCCAGTATTCTTGCCTGGAGAATTCCGTGGACAGAGGAGCCTGGAGGACTACAGCCCACAGAGTCATAAAGAGTCAGACACCACTAAACAAACTAAAAGTAAAGATAAGTAATTTCTTGTTGTTGTTCAGTTGCTAAGTTGTGTCCAAATCGTCTCGACCCCATGGACTGCAGAAGCACACCAGTCACCATTTCTGATAAAATGTGATCCACTGGAGGAGGGAATGGCAAACCACTCCAGGACACTTGATGTGAGAATCTCATGAACTATATAAAAAGGCAAAAATAAGTAC